ACCCCTCTAGGGGTCGCGACCCCCAGGTTGAGAAACGCTGCCTTAGAGTGTGATGAAGTCTACTTTTCTGGATAGGCTTGACAGCCAATGTGATTCTAAGTCAGCATCAACATAAATATAGTGTATAGATCAAGGGAGTAATATTCTATTGTACCTTATACTCCTTTGGTCAGACATCACCTGGAATACTGTATCTAGTCTTGGGCACCATAGTTCAAGAAAAATATTGATAAGCTAGAACGCATCCAGTGAAAGGGGACCAAAATGATAACATATCTGTAAGCCAAGCCCCATGGGGAGCTGCTTAGGAGCTGGATATGTTTAGCCTGGAGAACAGAAAGTTAAGAGTAGACAGGATGGCAATGATTAAATATCTGAAATGATGTCTTATTGAAAAAAGCTTGTTTGCTGCTGCTCCAGAGATTAAGACAAAGAGCAATGGATTCAAACTGCAGGAAAATACTGTAAGTTCCACCTAGGAAGACTTTTAATGGTAAGCGAAATATGCTGCCTCAGAATGTGGTAGAGTCTCCTTCTCTAGAGATATTTAAGCAGAGGCTGATGACTATCTGTCAGGCGGTTGGACTATCTGCCAGTCCAACCGCCTGCCATGATTTGTACATGGCAGGCGGTTGGACTGGATGGCCTTTGTGGTATCTTCCAATTTTAAGATTCTATAAAACCATCATCTAGCAATTTTGCAACATTATATTTAAACAAAGTGATTACTGGGCAGGCAACTAACAATTCAAAGTATTAGTAATCCACTAATATTCTGACACAACAGATACTTTACATTAAATTAAAATAGCCAATATAAGGCTTTCTATTTTCAAGTCCTCAAGACAAAATTGGTAAAACATTATGTAAGTCAAGGAAATGAACACAGCAATTAATTTAGATTTGCCATGTACAAAGAGTCTCGAAATCTTCTATGTTGATATTTTGGGGAAAGGCTCTCAAAAGTTAAGGACTTACTTATATTTAGTTCAACATCAGACTTACATCTTTGCATCTGTTTGCTATACTCGGACATATTGTCAGGTCTTATTGAGCGAAGAAATTTGATGTACTCATCACTGTGGTATTTCGTCATTTCTTCTGCTGTAGCTTTGTGGGGTCGCTGGTAAAAAAGAAAGACTGAAATGTGTCTGACATAGAATAGGAAGCAACAATACTTCATATAGCCTTAGCTAGACAAATTTTAAATGAACACTTATTTATAATGCTTTAGCATTTTTGTTGTCAAGTCCACAACATTCGTAAGCACAAAACAGTTACTGTATTTTATTCTTAGTAGGTTGATACAATTAAGATACTTTTGTATTTAGCTTTTATATTGTCTCAACCATCTAAGCACTAAAAACAACAAAATGTGACGTTCTCATCAACAAAAGAGACCATTGGCAATACCTGACTGCCCAAATTCTGCAAATATTTTTGTGTTAATATAACATTATGTCTGAAATTTTGTAAAACTAATAAATTTCTCAAAATTTAAATAGATAAAAAGTATGACATTAACTATTACTATAATAAAGATGATAATAAACAGTATATTTATATATATTTTCTGCTACTAACAATATACTCTCTCCAATGATTATCACCATCTATATTATAGAACTATGATTGTATACTCACATAGATTTCCATTTTTCTGTACAAGCCATAGTTAAGCAGCAAGTTATGAGTCATACGAATTCTGTGGGGCTTCATTGGGTGTCCCTGCCCATAATAATAGTTCCCAATATCACCTGTAAATAAACAAAATGATATTTAAATGTCTAACAACACAGTTCTTATTTACTTTGTCAGGTTACTCTACGATCTACAAAACAATAGATACTGCCTTCTGTCCTGGTAAACATTCATTCTCTTACTCTTGGATGGCCTTTGTGGACTCTTTCACCTCTATGATTCTTGAAACCCATTCAGCTTGGAAGCAGGGGCTGTAGGGACTCATCAGACAGGCAAGGGGAAAGAGGGGACAGAGTGGGACAACGGAGGAAACAGGCCTATTCTGTTCCCTCCTGTTGAGGTCTGTCTTCTGCCATCTCATATCTTTTCCTCCTTCAGGCCTGTCTTTCCCCCAATGTACTCCTGCATTGAGCCATTTGCAGTTGGCTAACACCCGACTACTCCAAAGGCACTCTGGGCTCCATTTCTCTATGCAGTTGAAATGAAACCCCAGAGAGTCCCATCAGAAGTTGCCCTGAGTCATGTGATAACTCTCAAATCTCAATGACTCCACTTGTTTGAAATTTGGCTGGGGTTAACTCTGTTACCATTAACCCAAGTTACATCTACATTTGGATAAAAACAAAAACAAAAAAGTTTCCCAATGCAAGTCAATGAGGAGCATGAACACACTGAGTTTTGAATTTTGGTTTGGATTTTAAATCCGAGAAGCCAAATCACACACTCCAATCTGAATCACTAAGCCAGGATGCTCGTATTTCAGTTGCTTTGGCCCTTTGTAATATAAATGTAACTCAAAAAAGTGGGAAAGTTATTAAGTTTTCTTAAACTAATCAGTACTCTCAATCTAATTGTTGCCGCAAAATTAAATAAATAATTCCACTTTTGATATATAATTGACTTTATTTTTTAACTTATCTACTAAATTATTTCCCTTCAGGAAAATGGATCAAAACATGTCTCTCAATCATTTTAATACATATTTAATAAGTAAATGAATGCGCCATCAAGTTTAGAAGACTGAAATCCAATTAATGTACACGTCAATCATCAAAATACTTTGGGAGGTGGGGATAATTCACTTGGATATAGAGACCTAACAACATCTACAAGGATAACCCTAACTCTGATGCCAACTGTTCTGCAATGGGGCTTTCCTTGACATTCCTCTTCAAACCCTCTTGCTGCCTACAAATATGTTACGTCGGATTTTTCTACATTTCAGAGCAGATTTAGAGAGCACAAAGGGGATTGTCACTGCATAATTCTGAGCATAGAGCTAATCTATTTGAAGAAGTACACTTTTGGATCCTGGCACCAATCACTACCACAACAATTCTTCAGAGACTAAAACTTTGCTACCAATATAAATTACACTAATTTGAATATAAAATGCAGAATTCTACATTCTCCTGTTATGAAAATCAACACACAGAGGTCTACATATATACGGAATAAAGATGAACACATAGTGGTGTGCTTTAATCTGTGATTAATAAATCTATCTTCAATTATCACTTCACTTATTTTCTTGAGAAGCAATAAAAGCACTGGAGCCAAGCACCATCAAATCTCTGCCAGTTCGCCATTATGGCAATCAGCATCACTGCCATATGGGTTACGGATCAGTTTTTGGTCAATTCAGTTTGGAGTGCTGATTCAACTTTAGATTCAGTTTGGGGTTCTGATTATATTGGATAGACCACATCAGCTCTAGTATCTGATACAGAATATATGCCATGGTCAGCGACAGGAAGGTAGTGGCTGGTGGCACAAAAGGAGTGTAACAAGAACATAAATCTATATCTATATCTATATCTATATCTATATCTATATCTATATCTATATCTATATCTATATCTATATCTATATATATAATAAAGAAGAGTGTTTGTATCGGACAGAATTGTGGAGGGAGGGCGGTGTATGTGGCAGCGTTCTGATTGGCTGCCGCTGTGGTGCTATTTGCATATGGTCTCTGATTGGCCAGCTTCAATAGGAGCCCCTGGTGGAGAAGAGGGTTCATGGCAGAAACGGGGAATGACAGAAGGAAATTTGCATATGGTCTCTGATTGGCCAGCCTCAAATCCAACATTCCGAGATGAGAAAGAGAGGAAAGGAAAGGCCGGGGCCTGGGTCAGAACACTCCCAATACAGATCGAAATAGGCACACAGAGCCCCCATCACCCACTCTACATCCTACTGCAGTTTGGAGGACTATGAACCATGGATGATGGGACTTGCAGTACCACCACTCACATTCTGAGACCGCTCTCAACCTTATCCAATGACTGATCAGGACCAAACTTCGCACAGAGACCTCTCATGACCCACTTTACGTCCTGGTGTGGTTTGGCCGGGGATGGACCGTGGATTATGGGACTTGCAGTACCATTGCTCATTCTTCAGACCACTGCAACCCTCATCCAATTACCAAAAATACCAAACTTGGCACACTGAGTCTCCATGACGCACTCTACATCCAGGTGCAGTTTGAAGGAGGATGCACCATGGACGATGGGACTTGCAATACCTGCACTCCCTTCCTAAGACCATTATAACTGCCAACAATGATGGATCAGGACCACAATTTACACAGAGAGTCCGCATAACTCACTCTACATCCTGGTGCGGTTTGGAAGAATTTGACAATGGATGATGGGACTTGCAGTCACTTCACTCACTTCCTGAGACCACTGAGACCCACGCCAATGACTCATCAAGACTAAACTTGGCACATGGAGCTTCAATGACCCACTCTACATCCTGGAGCAGTTTGGAGGACGACAGACCATGGATGATGGGACTTCAAGTACCTCCACTACCCAAGACTGCTGCAAAACCCATCTAATGACCAATCAAGACCAAACTTGGCACGCAGAGCCCCCATGACCCAATCTACATCCTGCTGCAGTTTTGGAGAAGGGTGGACCATGGATGATGGGACTTCCAGTACCTTCACTCACATTCTGAGACCTCTGCAAACCTCATCCAATGACTGATCAAGACCAAACTTGGCACATAGACCTCTCATGACCCACTTTACATCCTGGTGTTGTTTGGAAAAAATTTGAGATGGATGATGGGACTTGCAGTACCTTCGCTCACTTCCTGAGACCACTGAGACCCTCGCCAATGACTAATCAAGACTAAACTTGGCACATGGAGCTCCAATGACCCACTCTACATCCTGGTGCAGTTTGGAGGAGGACAGACCATGGATGATGGGACTTCAAGTACCTCCACTCCCTTCCTAAGATTGCTACAACCCTCTTCTAATGACCAATCAAGACCAAACTTGGCACACAGAACCCCCATGACCCACTCTACATTCTGCTGCAGTTTGAAAGGGGATGGACTTTGGATGATGGGACTTGCAGTACCTTCACTCACTTACTGACACCACTGCCACCCTCATCTAATGACTGATAAAGACCAAACTTGGCACACAGAGCCCCCATGACCCACTCTATATCCTGCTGCTGTTTGTAGGAGGATGGGCCATGGATGATGGGACTTCAAGTACCTTCACTCACTTCCTGAAAATAATGCTGCCGTTATCCAAAGACCAATAAAGACCAAACTTGGCATACAGAACCGCCATTACCCACTTTCTCTAATAACCCGGGCAACGCCGGGTCCCCAAGCTAGTATATAATAAAGAAGAGTGTTTGTATCGGACAGAGGAATTGTGGAGGGAGGGCGGTGTATGTGGCAGCGTTCTGATTGGCTGCCGCTGTGGTGCTATTTGCATATGGTCTCTGATTGGCCAGCTTCAATAGGAGCCCCTGGTGGAGAAGAGGGTACATGGCAGAAACGGGGCATGACAGAAGGAAATTTGCATATGGTCTCTGATTGGCCAGCCTCAAATCCAACATTCCGAGATGAGAAAGAGAGGAAAGGAAAGGCCGGGGGCTGGGTCAGAACACTCCCAATACAGATCGAAATAGGCACACAGAGCCCCCATCACCCACTCTACATCCTACTGCAGTTTGGAGGACTATGAACCATGGATGATGGGACTTGCAGTACCACCACTCACATTCTGAGACCGCTCTCAACCTTATCCAATGACTGATCAGGACCAAACTTCGCACAGAGACCTCTCATGACCCACTTTACGTCCTGGTGTGGTTTGGCCGGGGATGGACCGTGGATTATGGGACTTGCAGTACCATTGCTCATTCTTCAGACCACTGCAACCCTCATCCAATTACCAAAAAATACCAAACTTGGCACACTGAGTCTCCATGACGCACTCTACATCCAGGTGCAGTTTGAAGGAGGATGCACCATGGACGATGGGACTTGCAATACCTGCACTCCCTTCCTAAGACCATTATAACTGCCAACAATGATGGATCAGGACCACAATTTACACAGAGAGCCCGCATCATTCTACATCCTGGTGCGGTTTGGAAGAATTTGACAATGGATGATGGGACTTGCAGTCACTTCACTCACTTCCTGAGACCACTGAGACCCTCGCCAATGACTCATCAAGACTAAACTTGGCACATGGAGCTTCAATGACCCACTCTACATCCTGGAGCAGTTTGGAGGACGACAGACCATGGATGATAGGACTTCAAGTACCTCCACTACCCAAGACTGCTGCAAAACCCATCTAATGACCAATCAAGACCAAACTTGGCACGCAGAGCCCACATGACCCACTCTACATCCTGCTGCAGTTTTGGAGAAGGGTGGACCATGGATGATGGAACTTCCAGTACCTTCACTCACATTCTGAGACCTCTGCAAACCTCATCCAATGACGGATCAAGACCAAACTTGGCACATAGACCTCTCATGACCCACTTTACGTCCTGGTGTTGTTTGGAAAAATTTGGAGATGGATGATGGGACTTGCAGTAACTTCACTCACTTCCTGAGACCACTGAGACCCTCGCCAATGACTAATCAAGACTAAACTTGCCACATGGAGCTCCAATGACCCACTCTACATCCTGGTGCAGTTTGGAGGAGGACAGACCATGGATGATGGGACTTCAAGTACCTCCACTCCCTTCCAAAGATTGCTGCAACCCTCTTC